CCGATGGTCAGACTTCTTCACGAAAGCTCTGAACGAAAGGAATGAAGGGCTTCGTGTCCCTCGAGCGAGGAGGATCCACTGGACCACTCTTGCACGCGACAGGGACGAATGGAGACGTTGCTGGCGCCCGCTCGAGCAAGTTCGATGAACAAGCGGAACGACAAGTGAGCCAGGTGTTTATGATAGCTGGGGGGTGGTGTGTCCCGATGGCGTCAGAGGATGTCTTTGGTAGAAAGACGGTAAGAGGGGCAAACCCTTATACGGCTAGCTATAGGAAAGCCTATATGGACCACCGTGTAAACAGCCTTTTCAGAACTGTCGCCGGTAAAAGCGAGTGAGCAGCTTCTCAAAGAGTCCGATCCCACAAACTCCTGCCTGGAGACTCGGATAACTACTTCTGCGCTACTCGGCTTCATACTTTCTAAGCAGGAAAATCGCTGAGCACATTTTGAAAGCTAATTCGAAATCAGTGCTTGAAGATGCTCATAAAAGCATGGGACTTATCTCACGTGACTATCTGGATAGCCATTTAACGTTTTCTTTAGGGCAGTCATGAGGATCAAGCTCTGGTTGTTTCTAGTCCCACTTGTTTGTTCATCAAAACTCACACCTGAGGAAAATGAACGGCGCCAAAAAATCTGTGGGGCAAGAACTCTTAGTAGGTTTCAGAATCAAATCACATTGTTGTTGTCTCTGCGTTTTTTCCCCAATAAGCACTTTCAGAAAAAAGTATGGCATTGTCATTTGGAGGGCGACCTGCAAAAGAAGGCGAATACCCATGGGTCTGTGTTCATAGAAAGAGGTAAGGCAATACAGTTGACACGGAACGTGGCACCTATTCTTTCTCCTTTCTCCTTTCCCACTTTTCTCATTCATTTTCTCAACTCTTTTTCGAAGCTAAACTTTGCGTTAAGGTCGAAATGAGAGAGGGAGATGAGTTTTCACTGTCTGCTGCACTATTTTGACTGGATCCTACCAAAATCAGGCCAGACGCTTTTAATAGCTGGTACAGGGTCAACATCAGATTAAAACTATTATCACCTAACTTGAACGCACCTGTATGGTTCAGCATGACTGGAAGCAACAATCTCAGATCAAATTGGTAGGATAAAACCGGTCGGTAATGAAATTATGTATGCAAAACTGACTGAACAAAGAACCAGAGCAAAGCAGATGAGCACCATCAATGAGTGCTTCCTCTCTTCCTGCTTAAAATGAGGAAGGGCGCGTCTGGACGTTTTCTGAATTTCTTTGCGCCATGGCTCCACTAAGGCCGCGTTCATAGTTTGCGACTCCGGAGATTAGGATAGTACGCGACAATGAAAAACATATGTATTGACGGGAGATTAGGATAGTAGTAGAGTAGGAGATTGCGCTGACAAGATTAGATACGTATCGATTGAAATCGCTGGAGAGTAGTAGATTGCGATATTACGATAGTAGGATAGTAGTAGCGAGTTGCGTACTATGAACGTGGGCTAACCCGCGCGTGGTTGAAGTAGCCCTCACGTCGTGATCCACGCTGCGTATCACAGGGTGTGCTCGAGGTGACTCGTCCATAAGTTGAGATTAGTCGCTATAAGTCCACTTTGTAAGGCGCATTTTTGAGCCGCGACAACGGCACAAATGTGATAATCGCGGGCTACTCTAACCCAACCTGCCTGTAGTTGTTGCTTTGGGATTTTCTTTCGACGATATTCCCAAGAAATCTGTAATGTCGATCCACACCCACAACTTCCTGAAGGCCACCGATAAACGAGCGAATCATAGAGGACACTGGGAACGAAATCAAACAGTCGTCTTCAAAACGAGGAACGAGTCAGTCACAGGCCGAGCAGAGAGAAGTGTTTAGCGTTGAAGAGGGCGGCATCGATGTGGGGCGCATGACCCCGTGGCTTTCCACAACCGTTAGGGCGTGGCCGCGGCGAGCGCGGCCGAGTTCGCGCGCTCCGTATGAGTGGCCGCAACGCAGCCACCTGCAGAGCGGAAGCACTACCAACCAGGGTGAAAATCGTGTCGAGGAAATGGGCGCGTCTCTACGACTCCCCTCCCCCTTAATGGACGTTTCGATATCGCCACCTTTTACACTTCACACATCCGCTTTTATAGTAAAAAAGAATGCTAGCTTCAGACGCACGAGAGGGAGGCAGAGTTGCTGAGAAGCAAATGCTTCGCGGTTCAAATCCGAATCGAATTTTGCACAGGCTGGCTTCTTCTTCTATCGTTTCAGGACTACTTAGTCTATGTCACGCTTGACCCTCCTTTGGAGCAGATACGACCCCCTGTCAAGGATTTCCTCAACCGCTGCTCACCCTGCTACCGACTCGGCCGCGCCCCAACGCTTGAGGAAAGTCTCGGAGCCGGGTTGCATTTATGCGGAAATCAACTGTTAGGGAAGGGTTCCATTCCTCGGGTCCTGGGAAGTTTTGCATGATTTTTTCGTCTCCCATGGTTTCTGATGGGCTGCTTTTCACCGTATAAACTCCGAATTAAAAGCAGTGGACAGAGCCATTTGCTTTTTGCCAAGGATATCTTCAAAAAAAGCAATAAAGGCAAAATAAATTTTCAGTAAATGGTTTCAGATACTATCTGCAGTGGAGCTCTTATATCTCAACGTCACGTGCTATCAGCAGCTCACTGTTTCACATCTAATTTCAGCGGTCCTAAGGAGAAGTGCAATGGATACAAGTCGTTAAAAATCACCTGAATGTGTTCATGGCAGAGGCCAAATATGTGTCACCATTTGATTCAATCATTCAGGGTTACGACCCTACCTACTCCAAAGAATCATTCAAGATTTGGTTCGGAACGGAATGCGCCAAGCACAACGCACTCATGCCCCGAACCTAACATAAGATCAATCAGCTACGGTCAGAAGTTTTTCGTTTGGTCCAAGAACGTATACATCACAGCACGTTGCACTGTATCCCATCGCTTGTCTTCAGGACAGGGTAAAAATCGTGTCGAGGAAATAACCGCCTCTTTACGACCCCCTCCAAAACATGAACTCTGATACGACCCCCTTTTGTCCTCTGCACATCCGGTTTCATATCAAAAAATGCTAGTTTCAGATGTGCGAGAGACGCTGCCACGCAAATGCGGCTTGATCCAAATGCTAGATTCAATTCTGCTCAGATTAGGTTCTCCTTCTTTCCTTTAAAGACATTTAACCCTTTGCCACATTGGCCGGAAAGTAGAACATTGAAGGAGGTACTGCCCCTACACAGTTGAACAGTCTCGCGCTCCAGTATAGCGGCGCTAACTACCCGCGATCGCGTCGCGCGCTGTGCCTAGAGCGCGCTAGTTGGAAAAATCGTCAAATGTACCCCCTATTTAAAGGACTATAACTTTCTTCATTGATAACCATTTCAGAAAGTGAAGGCAGCTTTTGAATGCACACGACTTCTAGTTTCTAAGTTGTGCTGAGCGTTTTTCTAAGCACGCCTATTCTCGAGAGGGAGACGTCGAGGAAAAAATTGTCGAGGAAACTGAAATTTACATGCGAGTTCCCACTCTTTGGAAGGCAGTAGCTGTCTTCATTGGCAATGCTTTGAAAATCGGAGGAAAGCGTTGTAAAGTAGAAGATTTACGCTTTCTGATAGGTGCTCCAGTTGTTTCGAACGCTTTCTAGTTCGCGAGAAATCTGCGTCGAGGAAATGTCAAGGAAATTTTCGAAGCCACTCGAAACTCTATTACTCCCTTGCCGTAGTAGGGAACTTCTTTGAACACCTTCAAAATACTTCTGTACGCGTCAGTTCGATGGAGTAAATTGAAAATGATGCACTGGCGCGGATCCATTCCGTTCTTGTATGCGCCATGCAGTGACCCCACTCGGAGTCATTGGGAAGGTGTTTTGTCCTAGTGACGACTTGCTTAATCACACCAAAAGATATTTCCAGTATTAACTAATTTAGAAACTTTTGTGGTCATAGTGATGTCTGATCATTCCTTTATTCAAATCGCTTCCTTTCCAACCCGTTCTGATGAATGACAGCTTGCGGTTGCAGGATCTGATGATGCCAAGAAGGCTGCGAATCTGCCTGTTTTGAACTTTATTCGTAATAGCTAAGTGCAACACCCTTTTAACCTCATGATGACAGCAAATAAGTGGCCCGCCCGCCCAAATAAGTGGCGGCACCACCATTGTGTCCGTTGATGAACCTTTTGATTACGACCCCCTCCCAACTCTCATCGGAGCAAATACGAGCCCCTGTCGAGGATTTCCTCGACCGTTATTCACTCTGCTTCAGGATCAACCGTCCGTTGCTTTAATACCAATAATTTGACGACCCCCCCCCACCCCACCCTCTCGACCCAATTCAGAGAATCCCTTTCAACAAGGGAGGTCTTTCAGGGCAAGGTGCGCTTTTTGGAAACGGTTTCTTGCATATTGTAGGGACGCATGTATGGACCACAAAACCATGTTTCGTTTTCGCTGAACGGTTTTAGTAGTACCAAAAAAGTGGTGAATAATACTCTTGATGGTTCAATCCCCGCGGCGACTAAATTTTGCAATCAAGGTTGGCGGCCACTTGTTGGCTTCAAAATGGTCCTGACGATGAATTTGACATCTGATTTTGATATTTAGCGCGATTTGGCACCAAACCGTAGGCGCCAACCCAAATGCAAAATTTAGTCGCCACGGGGGATCGAACCCTTAACAGTACCTTATGCTTCTTTTTTGGTACTGCTATAACCGTTCAGCGAAAATGAAACATGGTTTTGCGTTCCCTACATGCGTCCCTACAATATGCACAAAACCGTTTTGAAAAAGCGCACCTTGCCCTGAAAGACCTCCCTTGTAAGGGTGATGGTGGTGGTGGAGGGAGGGGTCATATTTAGCCCTTGAGGGGAGGTCGTAAAATGATTGTAGATGGCCAAGCTGAGGTTGACCCCTGAATGGAAATGAGTGGCTTCAAAATGGAGAGAACACTGGATATTTAGTCACTTCATTGTAGAGACTCATCTTCAGTACAGCACGGGAAATAGGACCAAAATACGGGCAATCTGGTACCACTCAGGCCTCAGCAAGTTTCTCTGGTTGACCAGTTTTGTTTTTCAGATTTATCTAAGGCAAGATGGATGCAAAGATTTACACGACGTGGCAATAGCTGAGTTGGATAAACCCGTACCCGAGTCATTGGCAACACCGATTTGCACCCCGGACAAATCAACGAAGATCCCCAAAAAACTCAAATTTGTCGGCAATGGAGTGATTTCTCGTATGTTTACCGGTCTCAGGACATCTGTCAACCGTGAGCCCAGGCAGTTCAGCGTTTTGTAGTGATGTCTGGGAGCTTCACAAATGCACACTATCACCTCTTTCTTTATCTTTTGCTTAGTCCCAGTAAGATACAAAGTATGTGCTTTTCCAGCTACGCTCTCACCCTTTGGTTGACAGAAGCCTTGTAACCATGTTTACCAAGAAATGTGTGCCAGGACAGCGTTGAGAGTTGGCAATCGATCGGTTAGGCGATCGCATAATAGGTGGAGCAGAGAAATCGATACTTATCATCATCTTATCGCCTATGCACCTACACGCCTACTCGCCTAATCACCTAATCGCACGTACGATCGCCAACTCTGAACGCCGCCTAAGCTCTAAGCTAATGTGTATTTTTAGCTAACGAACAAATATTCGGTGGCCGCCAAGAAGTAGACCTGGACCTCGACTCACTTCAACCGGAAATATTTGTAATCCAAACTAAAGCTAAAAAAGGGCGGCGTAAGTGCCATTAGTTTAACAAGCCAAAATGCTAAGCGGACTTAATGGAGTTCAGGGAGACAGACGGAGGTGTATTATTTATAACCGATAAAAAAGGAAGGAGCACAGCTGTTGGAACGTATACGGACCGGAGAAACTTGCTATATTAGTGAGTCTCATTTTCAGATTTTCTGAGACAGAGAATGCGTTCGAGAAAAAGTGATTCGGCTAATAATTGCCATAACAAACTTTTGCTCAATTCCAGAGATCAAACCTTGCTTAGGTCAATGAAGCTCCTGATCCTTCCGATGGCAACGAGCTACTCACATATCGGGCTGAGATCACTCAGTATACTGCCATTAAGGAATCTTCCACGGAAAAAGCTCCGCCCTCATTACCACAGAAAACGATACCTTAAAGGAATCTTCCACGGAAAGAGTGATCATTTTGTCTTGTGTGTAGGATTAGTATTATCGAAACTAACGCTTATGTTCCGTTCTTTTTGCTATGCTCATGAGGCTAGGGGCCTAAGGGGTATCGTTTTTCTGTGGTAATGGAGGCGGAGCTTTTTCCGCGGAAGATTCCTTTAAGTAACTTTAGCAAGTAGCGGTAGCGTGCTGAGCACAATGGCAAAGTCGGTTGACTAGTCGAAATCGATGCTTCACCTTGGTTAATGGCGGAGTTCACAGTGGCAATGGTGTCACAGTGAAAGATAGCCCACTAAACCAACGTAGAGGTGGCCAGTGGCGCAGGGATGAAGATAAAATGAGAAAAATGGGTTAGAACTCGATAAACGAGGTATTTTGGTGTCCGTTTATTGGTAATACGACCCGCATCGGTGCTTCATCAACGCCTACGCTCTCTGCCAAAAGGTAGGAGTCAGACAACGAGGTGGTGGGCGGGCAGTGGCGATAGCGGCGCGGGGACGGCTATGAGCAGATGTGCCAAGGCGGAAAGACTGAGCGCGGAGAGGCGAGTGTGAGACGGGAGAGCGCAAAGGATGGAAGACGCCACACAACAGCCTGCTTCAAACGGAGACTTTTGAAGCTGCAGCAGCCAATTTTGCACGACCATAGCGCCCTTGTCGGGCCATTTCCATGCACAGGAGTGCCATATTTGTAATTATTCTCTAGGAATAGATCCTGCCAAACAAAAAGAATTGTTCACACGGTTTTTCCTGGGTCATGCTGTTTTGACCACACTCCAAAAAAAAACACTTCACATGTTCTTGAATAATTGAATGATTGTAACGCATTATTGCTCGACTTACAGACTATCCAAAGGATTATCCAGGGAAAAAGGAGCATACCAAACATGGCTGGATCAGCTGTTGATTATTTCAGTGATTTAACGTTTTATGCAGATTGGATATGTGGCGCCTCAGGTGAGAAGACCACTGATACATAACACTGTAGATACAATTACCAGCGAAATCCGCTCACTTATCTGCTGTGTATATGATTCTTTCAGGTGCATGTAATACGAAGGGGAGCCAAAGGAATACGAAGAAGAAGAAGAGAACTATCTACGAACTATCTCGATGTAGCCGTTTGGCGATACACATGCCGCTTAATAAATACATTTCATCAGTTGTTTTTGCACTTTTCAAAAGTCACTGGTCTTCTTACAGCTCTTATACAGCACACTGATGTTCAGATTTCTTGACGAAGCTCTGAACGGAAGGTATGATCAGCTGCGTGTTCTTGAATGAACAGGGCCCACTGGAAGGCCTAACACGCGGCTGGGACGAATGAGGACTGTGAGCTCCTACTCGATTGAGTCGGTGGAAAACGGGGTGGCAGGTAGCACCTGACGAGACATGGTGATTCGCAAGCCAGTGAAGTGTTATCCCGAAAGGATCGACGGACTGAAGGTGAATTGCCACACGCTGGTGAACTTTCACCAGTGATTGCTTGCTTTTATAACTATAAGCATTGACAGACAGGTGATGGCCAGGCTTAATCACTTTATGCGCTCTAAAAGGGAGCAAAAAACTGAAGAGCCATTATTGGCCCGCGTTCACAGCAAAACCCGCCAATTTGGCTGTCAAATGTTGGAAGAATTATGGGTTTCTTCTCTTGGAACACCGTACAAAAACTAGCAACTGCGGAAGTGGGGGGGGTGCTTTGGTAGATGACGGAATAAACGAGCTCGTGGCCTGAGCTAGATGAGGCTGAATTGGGAGAAAACAAGCTTACGAAGGAATCTGAGTTTCTTGAACATTTTGTCACTCACCTCGAAGTTGAGCTATGCTCTAACTCAATGTTTTTTGCCTCTACTAAGTTTTTGTGCTGCTAAGCCTAGATGTGATGTGATGTGATGTTTATTACATGCCACAGACATGTATCAACAGTAAAGCAACAAATAAAACGCCACGTAAAAGGAAAAGTAAAACATACAATGTGCCGGAAAGAAAGGAGAAAGAAAAAAGAACGATAACATGATGAGAAAGGGAGTACCAATGTATTCAGTAGTCTACATTACTTGGAAAGTAGGAGCCTTGCTCAACTTTTGGTATTGCGAACCCGCTCTGTTGACGAAGAAATTAGCTCTCACTGACGTTTTAGCTAATGGAAGCACTATTTTATTTCTAGATCCACGTGTGTTAGACGGTGTGATTTGGAAAAAAGAATCGTTTTCTAAGTTGATAGTACCATTTATTATTCTGTGAGCCATTATTAAGTCGTTCCGTCTTCTTCTCTCCTCTAAGGTGGAGAGTCCTAAGATTTTATTCCTTGCGATACTATGAGGGATAGCGCGGTAGTCCAAGCCGGTCAGACGTATCATGAGCTTTCTAGTGAAACTATTCTGAACCCCCTCGAAAGCACCTATTATTGTTTTCTTCACAGGATTAAACACCGTCGTTCCATATTCCATGATGGGCCTGACAAAAGTCTTATACGCATTCAATAGAACCTTAGGATTCTTGGTGGTCAAGCATCTAAAAAGATTGAGTACATGAAGTGTGGCCTTATTCTTAATCGTCCTGCAATGCTGCGTGAAATCTAGTTTGTCATTATACAGAAAACCTAAATCTTTGACTTCAGTAACAGGAGCCAACTCATTGTCGTTTAGGTGATATTTCGCACCTTCATTATTTCCCCCAATATGAAGCACTTTGGTTTTACTAGCCGATATTGGTAAGCTCCAAGCGAGGGACCAACGACACAGGGAATCGATAGCTGTTTGAAGAGTCAGTGCGCTAGAAGCTGACGTAAGACTTGTGTATAATTTCAGATCATCCGCAAACATTTTACAAGTAACATCTAGTGGCTGAACGACTTGGGGAATATCACGAGTATAAATATTGAAAAGTATGGGGGATAATACACTACCCTGTGGCACACCACTGGGAACAGGCCTGGATGTCGAAAAGCACCCATTGACAACCACTTGATATGACCGACCTTTCAGGTAAGCTCCGAGCCAGCTCACTATTCTATGGTGAAGGCCAATTTCTTGAAGCTTGAACAATAGCTTGGAATGAGAAACTTTATCAAATGCTTTTTCGAAATCAAAGTAAATAACATCTACAGGCACACGTTTTTATCTAAAGAAGTCGTCCAATCATTTAAGTTTAACACTTTCTAGCACATGATTGTTGCTCAGTTAGCACTTTGCACTCGACAAAACAACACGGTTGTCTGTCTTCCTTGCCGCCGATTAATATTGAGAAATAAGTTATACATAAAAAAACTAAGTGCTGAACAATTCTTCATCTGCCTTCTATTAGAACGTATTATCTAAAAAAATGACCACGAGAAAATAGGCAACCTGTAAGACTGATTGGGCGAAAGTTTTTTGGGTCGTATGAAGGAGGTTTTTTCAATATAGGGACAACAAAGGAGTGCTTCCATCGAAGGGGCACATCTGAGTGCATAAAGCTGTAGTTGTAAATGAATTCCAGAGGAAAGGAGATATTTTGAGCAACTTTTTGGATGAAAAGAAATGGGATACCATCAGGATTAAGGCTAGAGGACTTTTTCCATTTAGTTAACAGCTCATAAATCTCACTCCTAGAAAACCATAAAGAATCCGGCATAGCAGGAAAAGTACACCCAACAGTGGAGCATGGGAAGCTAGAATCATCAGGTTCAATATAAACACTAGAAAAATGATCTGCAAGAATTTCAGCATTGGAGCGGTTGTCAAAGGATTTAATCCCATTAGCATCGACAAGCGATACAACAGCAGTGTCTTTTTTCAACTTTTTCTTGACCATACTGTAAAAAAGGGCAGGCTTTTTAGATTCTATGATCTTTTTCTCAATAGAGGAATTATACTTAGCTAGCTTCTTGACAAACTTATCATTGATAACACAAAACTTCTCAAGATTGACTGAAGTAGGATGCAACCTGGCATCCAACCAAGCTTTAGTTCTGCTGCAAGAAAGTCTGCTCAGATAAGGAGGTAGCCTGACCGCAGAAGCCGGCTTTTTGGAAACCGGAACATACAACGAGATCGCATGGTTTAATACGAAAAGAAAAAGCTCATACATTTGATCCACAGAGGACAGATGACTTAAGGAACCAAGCCAGTCAACGTCTTCAAGGAATAAGTTGATGGCTCTGAAATCTGCTCTATTGAAATCCAAATATAAACACCTATCATCTTTCATTTGAGGAAAACATAGGTTGAATGAGATGCAACAGTGGATCACTTGTTCCCAGTGGAGGGCCGATAACAACATCGCTTATAAATGACGGGTCATTGGACATCACAAGGTCAAGAATATGATCATTCCTCGTGCTTTGATTAACAAATTGAGAAAAGCTGTGAGACATGAGCAAATCAAGAAACGATTTACTGGCCTTGGTTCCCGAATGGGGGGGATGAGACCAAACAATGTCGGGGTAATTGAAATCACCAACGATGATGCACGGTTGAGAACAGGCTACTAAGTCACTCAAGGCTTTCAACAGTTGGTGGTTGTTATCAGCCGTACAAGTCGGGACACGATATACGCAGACAACTCGTACTAACGAAGAAACGAAAGCAAAATCACTGCATAGGATCTCATAACCCTCACTAACCGTTTCTTTGAAAACAATCTGGAAATGTAAGTTATTCCTAGAGAGCAGCAAAACACCACCGCCACTTTTCCTAACTCTATCACAACGCATATCATGGTACTCAGAATAAATAGGATAGAGTAAGGTAGACAATTCCATTGAGGGACTTAGCCAAGACTCAGTGATAGCTATCAAATCATACCCATTTTCGATAATAGAAAACACCAAATGCTGAGCATTTTTTGAAAGTGACCTGATATTAGCCACCAAAAATTTACATGAATACCTTGTACTCCGCTGACACAAATTCAGTTTAAAGAGGTAGACATCAAAGGACTCTGCGAACTCAAAGAAACAACTGGAACAGAATCAGTTCTTGGCGTACTGAAGGTTGCTCGATTTTGAGGGTTTGAAAGAGGTAAAGCAACAGACGATTGACTAAAAACTGAATGAACATTGTGAGTGTCACGATGATGAGAACGTCGGAGATGGGGATTGATCCAAGGAGAGCGTTTAGCACGCTCAGCTTTCGTCAAAGATGCTCTTATGAAAATGCCAGGAGTATGGAAAAAACGCATACGAGGTGCATTTTTAAGAATGAGATCTCTATAATAACGACATGGGAATACAACCTTCATGAGTCTTGGCTTGCCTTCATACGGACGTCCCATTCGATAGAAAGCTTGTGGACTGCATTCAACAGAAAGAAAATCAAGAACATTACGTAAAACACTGCCATCATGCATGCCTCTAGAAACAGCACTAGGGTGAGATAACTCTGGAATGTTGGAAATAACGACCGATCGTAAACGCTCTTTTTCTTCGATTAATTGAGAAAGGTTTGTTTTCTCAACAGCAACGCCTATGTCATTAATAGGAGTAGCAACATTAGAATTGGAAACATTATTAGAAAGTAAGGCATTAGCTTCAATAGCTGAAGACTGAACAATCTTAGCGAAATCATTCTGAAGTCTTCTGACTTCATCCTCTAACTCTTTGTAACGAGTTACCATATGGTCCATTTGATCGGCATAATCGAGTACGTGAGTAAAAAGTGTCTTGACATACGATGGAATAGAGTCGTCTTCTTTCATCTGTCCAATTGCAATTCTTATTCTCGAGTCCATAGTCATAGGAGAAGATCGATGCGATTTCTCTTAGTCCCCTGAACAATGACCGAGCAGGGAGAGTCACCTGTATTCATCGTGGAGGCGAGAGGCTGTGTGATCAATTGATTATCGAAGATCAAACTGATCGCGCAGCTCTCGGTGCACAATCGATTGAAGAAATAACGAGTAACCTGGATTGGTGGCTTGGGAACTAGTAGAAATCACTCCCCGCCACAAGAGGAGCTAACTGAACGCGATGAGAAGAGTACAGTAATGGCAGGCGGCCGAACAATACAGTGAGGAAGTGTGAGCGACTGGGAATAGTAGGCGAACGTTGACAGCCAAACAGAGCGGGAAGAATCGCGCCGCTCACGACCACTGCAAAGGCCAGAATGATTGCCTGGAAAGGTGGTTATTTGTACTAACAGCTGCCGAAAATGCCTCATTCTATATCCATCGCTAAAGTATCCGTTGCGCGAACTATCAAGATATTTTTTCCAAATGAATTCGAGTCGGTGCGCACAAGAGATGGTGTGCTTTCGTGAAATGCGTCATAGTCAAGCTCATTTCCTGTTCGTCAGAAATGGTGGAGGCTGTTTATTGCCTAGGGTCGTTGGAGGCTGATGAGTATGGAGAATTCGTAATTGTTACAAAACCAAAAATATGGTTTGGTTGCCATTGCTGAGTTTCGTGTCCCGATTGTTCTTCATCAAGAGGATATCAACTCCCCACCAAGAAGAGGTTAACACTGGTGGTGTGCTGAATGCGTAACATCACTTTTGCTGGGCAGACCTCAATGGATCCGGCACTCGTGTTTCTGCAAGGGTTTAGCTCTTCTGGTGATCGAAAGGTGACATGCAGCACCGGAGATACCGGCGCTGGTCTCACAGCCCTTCATTTATGGTCAATCAAAGTCTTTATTCAACAGGTGGACTTCGTTGTTTAGCTTTTCAGAGGTACGGTATGCTCGTACACGCCACACCGCGCGCGCCGGATGAGATCTGTCGAGTCGCATTTAGAGAAAAGTTTGAGCTTTGACGCGCCACAGTGGGCGACCTTCCCTCGCAACTAAAGGCTGAGACTCAGTCCAAAAGAGGCTTTTGAGATGTGCATAGTTTGGTAATGGCATTTCATTCTGAAACTTCTAGTAGAAACGAGCCCTAATTATTGTTTTACACTTGTTACGGGCGGGATTTGGGAAGTAATTTTGGCGCACCCTGTACGATTGGTTTCGATGCGGCATTAATTTGGCTTTTTTCATGTTGCTGTTTTTATCAGGTTCATGTTTAGGAATCTCGCCTGCTATAAAGTTTTAGCAAAGAACAATATCATACCTGAGAAGTTCCGGAACGAATTCTTAGCATGGCAAGCAACACATTGTGATTCGTCCGGCAGAAAGCTTGACGTACGTGCCCAGTCTCTTCTGAGCCATTTTTGCGTTATTCGTTGTTCGAGTTGAACAATTGACAGCATATCTGCCATATAATATCGATTGTAAGATTGACAACTTGCAGAACGATGAGACTTTGGCATGTTGGCTTTTGGAAAAAGCGTACACAAAGGAAAATTGTGGCAGAGAACTACCCGTAGATGACGATGAAGACATGGAAGAAGAAGACGAGGAAGCGAGACGAAGAAGAAGAGAGCAATGAGATTTCAGTGAGTTTCATTTTTGTAGTATGGTCAACTCCTCCAACTCAGTTGAGTAGATTCATTCACCACCACCTTACATTCATTTTAGTCTCTTGAAGATGAGGAGGCAGAAGGACGTGTAACGCTTGACAGTCTCTTAGAAGTTCTAAATGTGGGTGTTGTTTCTGTTATATGCTACATTCTCTTCTGGTACGCTTCTCAATGGGCTGACAGCAAATCTGTGGTGTTGATGTTTCTTAGAATGAGTTTTTTCAGCAGCAAGCTGTTGAAAGCGACGATGCATATGATGAGGTGTACCTTACCGAACAAAAATGGGATATTTCGAAGAGAGGTTCTGTTGAAAAAAATGTCATCCTTCTAGCGAATCGCACCAAAGGCTACTGCCAGAAATCAATGGGCAAAGCGAATGTAAATGACCAGCTTCCTGTTTTTTTTTTTGCTTTTTCATTCATTGATAAAGAAGTTTTTTCAATCACATTCCGCCATCGCAGATTGTTTTTTTTTTTCAGATAGCCGGTGGACAAGATTTTAGTCAACGAATGCTCCGAAGCTCAAGGAGCAATCGTTCGGGTACTTTTTTATATGAGATTTAAACTTATTGCGGACCGATGTTATGTTCTTCTCTGGGCTTTACCTTCGTTTCGTCAGTAACTCGTAGTATGTCGGAAATTAGTATAGTATTTGTTCACATCCTGTGAGCGAAAAATATATCGGCGACCACTTCAGAAAGTGGTTAATGAATCGAATGGTTTTTTTGTGGGGTTGCGTGATGTACTCTGTGCGTGCGCCACACAGTACGCAATGAGTCCAAAAGTCTTAGGCTTGCTTTGGCGAAATCTTTGATGTCTATTTCCAGGTGAATCCAATGTCCTCAGAGGAAGCCGCCGATGTAAAATACGTTTTCTCATTGACGAAGCAACGTCGCTGGGAACTGTATATGTTGTGGATGCAACAGCTGGTTCGTTGTTACTGCGAATCCTTGTTCAAGTTTAAGATTGGGCACCACTTGAGAAATTGTTTTATGCCTGTAATTTATAGTAATTCATTCTTGAAGTGAGCAGACACTGGCACTAAAACTGTTGCTCGAGCCGAAAAAACAGAGAAAAATAGGGCAGCCAAAACTGCCCCTTTGGTTTTCGGGCGAGACGATCTGCTCACCTTTCGTGAGCTCGACAAAATTCTTCACTGATGGACAGTCTACCCGAAGAGATTAACATCAGGAAATGGGGCTCAGCCTGAGTTCACGGCTCCCTGAGAGGAGCTCAATAGTCTAAGGATGCTCGCGCCTCTGTATGCACTCAAATCAAGCCGAGACATGTTCACAACTTATTTGAATTTGAATTATCCCATGAAAATGAAGGTTACCTATATATGACAGTGGTGACGTGCGAGTTTGCGTATCTTTGCGCGAAGTAATGGCCGTCTGTGGGTTTACTTACTCATTCAACCTGATTCACCCTGTTTCAGAAGCTCTGCGCTCGTGCGCAGCTGCCTCGTTCTCCTGGGAGGTTCGCGAACAAAGGGTTTTTTGGAAAAAAAAAAAAAAAAAAAAAAAAAAAAAAAAAAAAAAGGTTTGGTTGTTGAGTGTGAGGCAATGAAGAGAGCTAGAATTAAACGTCATGCGGAGGTGTTACGGCACTGTTTAGTAAGTATGAAAAGTTTCCCTTTGTTCTGTAAATTTGATTTCGCTGTGCGAAAAACGCTATCATTGTTAAATGTGTGTTTTACTTCAAAGGTTGTTTTTGCGACAACTACCGGTGCGGCAAAAGAACGAGAGTTGCTGATGAGATTGCGCTGTCCGATCGTTTCGCCGAAGAGGCCGCTGGGTATGTCAAATGATACTCTCTACAATTATGAAGTGTTAAGCTTTTGGCATTATTGCCGTAAACATATATTTTGATCGAGTTTTGGCGCTGTTGTAACCCGCTTGATGTCACAAGTAATAACGTTTTTTTCCCAAAGGCGATCAAAAACAATCCTTTGCGGCACACTTGGCTACAAAAGGCTATCGCGGAGTAAAACTGAAATGTACTGCTGTTGCCGTAGTTATGTCAAGCTGGGAACTAACTATTAATGTTAACGATATCTTCGACTTTTTTTTCTAGGTCCTCGAAGCTCATACTTTAGCATGCTTTTTACCGACTGTCGAGCATGTTGTACTCATAGGCGATCATCAACAGCTGAGACCATCTCCTGGTGAGCGTTTTAGCTATGTACCGTTTATTCCGTTCTTTTGTGTTATTAGGCTTTCATCCAAACATACTGGAAACTAATGTTTTCCCTAGATTTTTGGTGTGAATAGATTATTTTCTTAGGGAGAAGACAGTGCTTCTCCGAGGTCTGGGATTCCATAAATTCGATCGTAAGGTGAAGTTCAAGCAAAGTTGAGCAATATTTCGTGTAGCGGAGGAAGAAAACGAAGGGAAGAATAAACAGAATCCCAATGCGATGTTGTAACAAACCGGAAAATAATTTTTGGGCTGAATCGTTATGTAAGACGAACAGATTATTTCAGCTGTATATGAGTTGGCTCGTGAGTATAATATGGAGGTTTCGATGTTTGAACGGTTGGTGAGAAATGGACATCCTTACCGTACGCTCCAGGTGCAACATCGAATGAATACGGACATTACGAGCAATATCATCAGGCATATTTCTAATGGCTGAGTAAGTTTTGTTCGTGCTTGTTTCAAAAATTTTTGAGAAGGAAGTATTTAGTGAAGACGTGGGGCCTCTCAAGAGTGCGGTCCGGCACACAATTCGCAGCGAATGATATGCTTCCGGCGATCTAGCATGGCCGTTCCCCGTGCCGATCGCGCCGCATCATGCCCACCCTCTCGCCATCTGAGCCTCTAGTCGGTTAGCACGAGAGAAAGAGACTGAGAGAACGTCAGGCGTTGAAGACGGCAGCACCAATGAGAGTCGCATAAATTCGAAGTCAACGGGCAAAGAAGGGGTCCCATTTTTCAATTTCTGGGCCTTCTCATGAATGTTTCTCGTCGTGCACACTACCATCCGCTATCTTTCTATGAGCTGCCTTTTTATTTTGACTTTGCTTCAAGGTAGGTTCGGAGACCCTTTTCTCCCCTTCGCACCCATCGCTACTCACCAGTCTGCCATCGCAAATGCACCCTCCCCACCATCGAACTCACCAGACGGCCCCCGTGCAGAAGTACGACTACTATTTGTCTACTCTGGAAACAAGCTCCGCTCCTGTTTTTACTTTGGCCCGCGCATTTGTCAATGTTTGGCAGTCAGTTTCACCCCTATCATGGCATGCTAAAGGCGGCAGTCGCGACGGCTGACAAGGAAAGGATGGTAGGTCGAAGTGGCCGTATAAAATGAGATGTATACCACCTGATGCGTCTCTAGACGCTGATTCCAAATCTGCCTTCCAAATCTGCTAAACGGCTCTCCGAACGGAGTTATGAAGCGTAATAGCTCAGTGGTGATGGTCCGGGGTGGCAGGTAAAAGCTCGTAGGATCGGTTCCTTTGCAAGTTTGTTGCTTTGCTTTTGTCCGCAACACTTCTAGAGACAAAAGCAAAGCAACCAATTTGCAAAGGAACCGATCTTCGCCGTTGTTTATTACGCTTTTACCTGCCACCCCGGACCATCACCACTGAGCTATTACGCTTCATAACTCCGTTCGGAGAGTCGTTTAGCAGATTTGGAAGGCAGATTTGGAATCAGCGTCTGGAGACGCATCAGGAGGTATACATTTCATTTTATAACGGCCACTTCGACCTACCATCCTTCCTTGTAAGGTAGGAATGAGTTGATCATTGGTGGGAGAGCATCGAGTGGCGGTCGGACTACGCGTGAGGAATAGTGATAATATCGTCTCGCCATCTTTACACCAACATGTTCCACTCATACCCTTTCTGGTCCTTCGCAACCCGCTGCCTTTAAGATGGGGTAGTCATAGACTCTATCTTGCTGTGGATTCCACTTTCGACATGAAGGGATTGAGAGTGTCTCGAAAGGTTTGGGAAATTCGCTCAGATTGTTTGACATGTTTGACGCACAATTATAACAATGAAAGATGGTTGTAAAATTAAGATAAATCCTAGAAAGAATTGCTCTATTTGATTATTTACTTTCAGTGTTTTGCTGATGGCCTGTTCGGGTGTTGGAATATCCAGATGTGCCTGGTATGGATAAAAGATGTTTCTTCTGGATGCATGACGAACCAGAAACAACTCCCACTGATGCGTTGTCGAGGAGCAATACTCATGAAGTGAATGCGTTAATTTAAAGACACTGTCATTATCAGTATTTTGTAAAGTTTTTCCTATCCTTCTGATATTATCGCATTTTCAGGTGACAATGGTTGTTGCGTTAGTTTCATATCTACTTAAGCAGGGAATAAAGCCGGAAAAGGTTAGATGACTTTCTGTGCATTCACTTTCACAAAGCATCCACTGCGATAAAGAAGCAGTTTTTGCTCATTTTCCGATCATAAGTTTTTTTTCAGATAGCGATCATCACAACGTATTCCGCTCAACAGGCAGAAATGAGAGAAGCCATTATCACTCACTTTGGTCGAATCAAATGATCAGCGTCGGTAGCCGTTGAAACTGTGGACAGTTTCCAAGGAAAGGTAGTTTTCCTGTTCTGAAATGGTTAATCCTAGATTCTGTAATTACACCTTCCTGTGCTTGACAGGCAAATAGCTCAGGGCAGGCAGTATTTGCTAAACATTCCATCGATAGTTTGAGTACTTCTGTACGTTATCGATTTTTATTCGAATGCTTTTGCGAGAACTGGCGAAATATGGAAAGATGCATCTCGACTTAGCACTTGAGCGGCTTAAAATTTTCAGCTCTTTCCACGCTAAGAAAGCATTTCATCTTGTGATCGACTTATTCAAGTGGTCTTCGGGATGGAAGCACTAGCTGCGCAGCCTTTGTAGGCCCTATAGGCAATAGATTTTATTACGACCTCGGATAAGTAGAAGGATAGGATTGAAAGCAAGAGACTGTCTTTCTTGAAGTGAAAGCATTTCCTGGGTTGTTCTGCAGATTTTGTTCACTGTTTGGCTCAGAAGAGCGATATCGTGTTTATTTATTTATTTACTTTACTCTTTTTTACTCCATATATTTATCTTTTGCCTCTTTGGAGCATAAAAGTGAAATTGAAACCTATATGATGACGTTACCCTCGTGTAACTTTTTTCCCAGGAATCGGATTGTGATTGTGTCACTGTGGCGGTCTTTGATGGATGGGATAGGATTTTTAGCGGTGAGTTTGTTATAGCTTTGTTTCCGCTGGAATTTAAAATTTCTCTCCTGATTTTCAAACAGGCTGGGCATTTCTTAAAAACTAATTAAGGTGAGAAATCGCATTACGGTTGCATTGACCCGAGCACAACATGGCATGTATGTAGTTGGGAACCTCGTTTACTTTGCGGATTGCTCGTCATTTGGCGCCAGCTAGCTACCGACATGTACGATAAGGGATTTGCAGACTCGTTGTTGCCGATTCGCTGCCAGCGCCATGGAAATCTTCAGGTGACTATCTCGTTCTTATTTTTATACTTTTTTCTTACTTCTCAATTGTTGCTCTATTAGTGTTCCAATTCCCTGTTTATTTAGAAGATTGAACATCCAAGTGAGTTCGCTACAAAATCACCGGAGGGTGGATGTTTGGAAATCTGCGATGCCGAGCTTCCATGTAGTCACAAATGTCCAAGGAGGTGGGTTGTTACGAAAACCGTTTAATTGTTCCAAAGACTCGATGAGGGCTCCATTCTATCGTTGTCGATATTAGCATTCAATATTGTTATACGAATTCCTTAAGAACGCCATATACAGGGGGGGGGGGGGCAAAAAAAAAAGACATTTTGCCTATGTCGGACTTCGGCTCTTTTTTCTTCGCAGAGATTGCTGTCGTTGACGGGAGTTCCTCAGCAGAGTATTCCCTAAGTGTTCCTCTATTAGTGTACGCAGGCTCTCCTTCACTGCCCTCACCGTCTTCAGAATATGACGTCATCTGTCACCGTCGTCAGGCTCAAGGAGGTCTACCGTAAGAGCTTCAGCCTGAAGCTCTTACGCAATTTCGTGAATCGATTTAATGTTGGATAGTTTTCTAGAGGCATTAGCTACCACTGTGCAAATCCCCTCGGAACTAGCTTTCCAGTAAGGGTCGTTATGGTACACGATCCTTCGAAGACCCCATTGAGATCGACCAGTGCACCATGTTTCCAGGGCTAATTCTTCTGATGCCGTCCACGTACGTGGCCACTATGAAGATTTTCTTATAGAATGGAATGCACTCTTTAATAATAAGTTGGAACCGTTCGGTCTGAGTTGAGTAAAATGTGCTTAAATCCATCTGGAAGTGGAGGCAAAATGTCTTTTTTTTGGCCCCCCCTGTATATACTCTCCGAATAATGAAGTCTACAACGGCATACCGTTTGAAATGTTTGTTGCACGTTTCCTCAATGTAGTAGCCAACAGCTGTTTTTTTTTTGAATTTGCTCAATTTCGTCCTGATTGCTGAGCGAAAGAATCGTAAGCCGTACAATCATAATAGCGCTTTAATAACTGGAGAGGCGTGAACTAAAGAATGCACTGCGAACAGAGTGTGCCACGCTCTTCATTGATTCTTGTCTTCATTTGTGGGTGCAATATGTTTATATCAAACGCATGTGGAGTGGGATGCTGATGAAACGGAAATGTGCTCATTTTCATATAGGGAAGGGTAGGCTTCAAAGAGGCCGGATCGTGCCAGTTCCGTGGCGGAGGGTGCATCCGTAGAAGCATAGCAAGGCCTTGCTCGTGGTGACGAGCGTTATCGTGAAGAACAGTCTCGTCTCCAGGTGGTGAATTGACCCATGATGGGTGGGAGGTTACCGTCCACGACAAGGAACCAACCTAGAATGGGTGAGTGGTACGGTCTACGGCGCGAGTGTAAAAAGCAGAGCAATATTCTTTGTTGTCATGACGTCATCTGTCGTAGAATTCCGTTGGCGGAATACTTCGCAAAAACCACTCAGGCGGCGAGAAGGTCCCATAACGCGGGTTTCGAATCGTTTTCTTCGGTTATTATTTCAACATCGCACCACTTGCCACTTCTACTTTCATTTCCATCACGAACAATTTATCGCGCTATCTGTCCAATGGCTAATTTCTATTATCAAAACAACTATTGCAAACAAAACATCAGGCATCTTTTTTTTAGCCTTCTTCAGTTTATTCAAGGCGAATTTTAAAAGCAAAAGCTGCGCAGTTTCTGCATGCAACGCGCACAGCAGGGTCAACCGTCCGTTGGACTAGGTCCAACGAGGGGGTGGGGGGGGTCGTATTTCGCGAGGTAGCGTTAATGTTACAGTAAGGGAAGGGATGATTTTTCATGGAACGGAGAGCGGATTAGGTTGTTGGCTGGGATTTTGAGTGCGAAAATTTTTTTCACATTCGATATATACCCCCCCCCGCTCGACGGCAATTTTGGAGGGAAAAGTGGGCGGAGTTGGGCTGTGTCGACTGGTCTCAGAATCAAATACTATAGAATCGCCCCCATGATGGCGATGGAGGGGGTCGTATCGAGGCCCTCTAAAAGGGGGGGGGGGTCGTAAAATTTTCGAAATTGGTCCAACGTGACGGTTGACCCTGGCGCACGGTGACCGTCTTTCTCCGTTCCCATCCTGGGCTCTGTTGACCATCCTAAACTAATCTATCTGGAGTTCGTGCTTACTTCCCTCTGTTTTTACAACTTCTCTTGAAACCCGTTCATGGGTTTTTCACATGAAATTCTGCTTGTTCAGAGAACTTCCCTACTGGCTGTGTGGGAGGGGGAGTTTTTTGGTTGATTCATGAGGCAGTCCTGAATTTCGTGATGCAAACACAGACAAGCAGGAAGAAAAGCATAGCCCCATTTGTAGAAACGACCAATACATGCAAACTTCCGGGATGCTGAGAAAGGCTCGTAGATCACATTTATTCAGGTGCCATCCGAATGATGACCATGATAGCTGGAAATGTACACAAGAGTGCCTCCGAACATGCAAAGATGAGCGCTACCGACATCCATGTCAGCGAAGATGCTTTGAGGTACAGAAACATGTAGTTGAACAGTTACATTGAAGCTTATGTTGATGCCCATGACAGTCCTAAATCTATATCAAATTTATGGCATGAAAAAAGTGCATTTGACGATGAACTTATCCTTTTGAGTTTGCCACGAATATCAGTTTCCGCTAGTGTGGATAGAATTGTTTTGATCTAGAATGCTTGTGATTACGCTATTTTAGGAGATGTCAGATTCCGAACGAGCGATTGCTAGCGTCTGCGTCGGCTGCGTACAGCGAAGCGACGCTGGCGAGTCGCTCGATTTCCAGTCTGACATCGGCATAAAGAGCACAGTTTTTCTACTACTATCCGAGTGCACGAATTGATTAGCTTTGGGAATGTGTAAGTGAATCGTCTTTTCTGATATGAAAGTGGTATTTTCTCCATGAGCACCTTCCTATGAAGGGGCAAATTCAGATTCAAAAGCTATTGACAATCTTGGTCGGAAGCTCAGAACTAAACTATTCTACTTCAAATTCAGTTGTGCTAAAACTGTTCATGATGAAAATCAGTTTTGCTTCCGGCAAGAAAGTTCAAGAGCACATTGGTATACTTCCTCAAAATTACATTCTAATGTTGTAATGACGCACCTGTGTTGAATTGTTGAATTCTTCAGCCATGTGGTGACTGCGCTCACGTAGTAAAAATTCGTCTGAAGTGTGGGCATTTCTACAATGTCCTGTTGCTACCTCGGGACATGTGTTTGCGTCATGAACGGTAGGCTCCGTCGTTACTTGAGAGAATGCTTGGTGGTGTCTGAATGTCCGAGCCTCCTCTGTTATTCGCTCTGGTATTTGGTTTCTTCTCCTTCGGCTCTGGGAACCCATTAAACGGAGAGTATAATATCCATTTCAGATGCAAGAAATGCTTAGCTGTGAATGTCTTCAACTTGTGGTAAGCCTTGCGATATGACTTGTCTAGAGGTGAGTGTTTTTATACTAGCAAGTTCAGCTGCGCAGTCTTCTGTGAGGCCCCATGACCGGGAAGGGTCAAAATCGGTTCTCTACCGTCCTGGGTAGACATAGAGTTTTGACGCTCATGGGTTGTCTCGGAACCAACAAATTTTTGATGACCCATATCCTACCCATTCCAAATATGGCGCTGTACTGAGACAGACGGAAATAAGCGGTGAATTTATGTTATAGGTTATTTCATATGATGTCTGATCTGAACTTGTGTTTATCTATTTGAATATCTTATTAAGGCTGTAAAGCTTCTAATGATGTGTGGCGTTTCGTGGACGGTGGTCTGCAGTGAGGCGAGCAAGTCTACTAGTTGTCCAATGCGTTGCCCGGAAATCCTCTCATGTGGCCACGGTTGTGCAGAACGATGCGGACAGCCGTGCACAATCAAATGTAACAAGGCATGTTATAGTTTTTATAACACTAGTTGTTGAATAAGCTTCCGGGCTACGAGAGTTTGGGTAAGGCGCTTCGAATAAACGATTTTTCTACAAAAAATGATTCAGTTGGTCCGACGTCGCCTGGATTGTGGCCACAATATCAACGTTCCATGTCATGAAGGCGAGGTGGAAAAGCAGTGCGAAGTAGGTTCTCCATTTCAATTAGTAGAATACTATGAAGTGAATAAGATCATATTAACGTACATATTATATTCATACTTTGTTACACTTTTCTTCTTAAAGGAGTGCTCCTTGATGAGTTTGAAGATCGAAGAGGGAAACTTACCTAGGAAACGCGGGCGATTCCTGAGAGTGTGGACGACGCATGTGTAGTAAGGATAAGACTCAGGGAGTCAATTCCTGCGAGTTCTGGACGTAATGGTTTCTCATTCATCCTGCACACTGGCCTCCTACCAGTTTCTAATAGAAGACTTTAATGTGGTAACTCGCTTCGACTTTGAATCACATTTGTGCACTTTGGCAAGGGAGTAAGGAGTTGTCGATCACTTGTAAAAGAGGAACGAACCGGCTAACGAGGTCAAACCGAGAACCTTCATTTTGAAGGGTGTGCGTACAATAAGTCAGAATTGAACTAACAAGGTGAGAATAGTTTGTGCGGAGCAATATCGCCGAGATAGCGCAGACATTAAGTTGAATAGTCTATGGTTAGCCGAAACACAAGCGCGTTAACGATGACCTAGTACCCTTTGTAGTGTTTTCGAGGATGGTGCACAAACGTCGATTTTGGCATCGATAGGTTTGTCTGCAGGAATACTGATAGGCCTAGATTGTTCGTGAATTCTTTTAGTATGATTAAATTTTTTTTATATAATATTGGTATACGCTTTTACCTTCACACTTTTCTTTAAACTATTGTCTTAACGTCTTCCATTTTTTCAAAATCGGATTCAACGTTTCGTCTGCTGCTCTTATGCCATTGCGGGCTACTACATGGTGTGAAGCATTCTTTTCAGTCGAGAAGAGTCGTTTTGTAGCGCTGTGGATAACTGTTAGATTAATGTCTAATCTGTTATGCATAATACTCTTACTTGTGCTCAGGCGCCTAATTGGCTTCTTGTTGATTGAGAATGCTAACATCCCAACAAATTTCCTTTCCTTGGCATTTTCGCGGCAAAAGGTTCAACTCGCGCATTCTCATATAAATGGCGTTGAATCGCCAATTTGTAGTAATGATTAATCGAGGAGGGGTCCATTTCTACGCGTCTCTCGTGGACCGTTTATGGTTTTTCTCTCGTCATCCTGATTACCCCTGGTCACCTGAGCACTCTGTAGCTTTGAATGGAGCAGAGCGCTTCTAATCGGTGCACTTCTCTGTTGATGCCGACAATTACGGCCGAGAGAGCGAGACATCCTGGTCTGGGTAGTCCTTTTGGTTCCATATTAAAGCCAAAAAAGAAATCGCGGGATTCCATGGACCCTACCCTGCTGTAGAGGTCATATCTCTCTGGCAATGAGTGCAAGCATGAGCTATCAATTTTTGGTATGAATGGGTCAATTGTCCTACGCACGCGACATCCGCACTGCATATATAGAACTTGAGAATCTTCGTGGAATATATTTCTCAAGGTATTAATGAATCTACACCTTTTGCCGTTCACCTTTTGTGCTATTAACAACGTACTTTGAGCTTAAAAAAACACCGTCCATTCTTGCAAATTTTCTTTTTATCTTCTCGGCGGGGGGACCTCTCCCTACGTTCGTCTTGATCTAGAACTCTAATCGCATTTGTCTGGCCACTGTAGCATACATCACCATGGTTAATCCATCTCCTATCTTCTAGTCAAACAGCAGGCGTAATTGTTAATCCTTGGCGAACAACACTCTCGGCTTAGCCTTAATGTCATCTGTGACTGCATATCCATACACCTTACTACGTGCCTCAGGCATCCTGATTGCTTCTTTTGATTAAGACAGCTTAACATCACATTTCCCTTTTCCTTGCAATTTTCCCTGACTTTATAATCAATACAAAAAATAGTATTAGTGCCATTTGTTCAAATGAGTACTATTTAATGAAACGTGACATGAATATGTATAATTATTTCATTATTATGGTTTTGTACCTCACTGTGCATGAAGACACTGAATAATTTGAAGGTGAAAGTTCCACAAGATCTGGAGCGTTGTGGTCATTCTGTTATGATGCCGTGTTACGCTGGCACGAATCCAAGTCATTGTCCTGCTCAGTGTGGCAAGGAACTTCCGTGTGGACACAATTGCCTTCGAAGATGTGGCGAATGTTTTGATGGTAAGCGGTTAGATTGTTCTTTCTAGAGCATTTTGCCAAAATTCATTTTTATTTCTCGACCTTTTCCATCTTATATTTTCATGCGCACAAATTTATTTTCATTTCTCGGCCTTCTCCATCTCTTGGTTTCCCATTTTGTGCAGTTCTTAGTTTCCCTGTCTATTTGATAATCTCATAATTGAACTTGTTTTCTTTAGCTGGCGAATGTAAATGCGAAGCAGTCTGTTCGAAGTTGTTGCCGTGTGGTCATCAGTGCACAAGAAAGTCAGTTTACATTGGTTGTAGAATCAAACGCTGGAGGCTGTCAGAGTACCTGCCAATTATACTCACCTATTCCGACTGTTCAGATGTGGTGTGCCATGCGAGCCTTGTATTTCTCCTTGTCTCACAAGTTGTAAGCATCAGGACTGCGGCAGCAGTGACCGTTATCAAGTGCGTGCTTCTCTGTTTGACTATATTTCTTTTGCGTATTTTTTTGTTGTTCTGTAGTGCAGGGTATGGGGAAACCAACCTATTGATTCCTTCAGGTACTGAAATATGGCCGAAATTGCTCGGAATTGTGTGTGCTTTGTCCAAAGCTTTGCGACAACAGTTGTCAGCATCGCAGTTGTAGTAAGAAGTAGGTTTATACCATCGATTTAGTTAACTTTTTGAAACCTACAATTTTGTTCTCTCCATGGAAATGGGACGAGGAAAGCACACGATCTTTATTGAATGCGATTCTACTGGCCTACACATCTTTTTACTAGGTGCTATGAAGTATGCGATGTGCGACCGTGCGAGCAATCATGCACGATGCGACTGTCATGTGGCCACGGCTGTCTAGGAATGTGCGGGGAAGTTTGTCCAAGTAAGTCTCCAATTTCGTGGTAGATTTGTCACTTTTTTGGCCTGATGCTGTATTTTGGCCGTGCTTTGGTCCCATTTAATCAATGAAATGTTGTTTCGCAAAGGCAGGTCTGAAGTAATATACCCTGCTTCCGAAAGGCCAGATGCTCGTCGAGTGCAGACCTTTACAACACAAAAGACGACGACCTCCATGGATGTGTTTGCTGCCAATGAAATGATTAGCCGGTTGCACTTGTATTCTATTAATAGTTAGGCATCATACCAATTCTATTTACCAATCTACATCATGGAATCACATAGTTAATAGATTTGATTTAATCGTCATGTGGTGTTGGTGAACTCTACGGTCTGTTTTCAGTTTATTAAGATAGATTAGATAAATGTCGAGTAATGAGCGTGAAGTACATGCATGAAGCATAGCAGGGACCAAGGAATACATGTCGTTTTGTGTCAATGGGCTTAGCGGCCAGCGTAGCAAGGCTTGCCATTCCTTTCTGAGCCCCGCCACGGTCTGTGCTCCGCCCCCAGCAGCAGCGCCCTTCGATTGCCAATGTGACGAGATATTCCACTTCCAGAGTGTATCCTATAACTTTTCATGGGATGCGTGATCAATCAAAGCATGATGCTTGCTGAAATGATAGAGGCTATCAGCATAACATGTGCAAACGACCTCCTAATTGGTTGCTAGCTCGTCCATTATCGGAGGTCAACGGGCAAAGAAAGGGGTCCCATTTTGCGCCTTCTTGACGGATTTCTTTGCTTTTTTCGCCACTGGGGCATTATTCAGCATCTCCACTTCCACTATGAACCCAGTCCAAACTTATCGTAATCCCTCGCTTTAATATTAGTACAGTTTAGCTCGCCCTACCGGCGGAAATGACACGGTACCCTATTGATATGAATGAGAATCGAGTTAATACTTTGGTTCACCGCTACTATCAGTGCTCTTAAATGCCAATTGTCCGATTGGCTTCATACTTGCCTGTAATATCAACTGTTATAACGCATGAATGCACATCTAAATGATTGAGTAAACAACCACTATACTCAGTATCGAAGTATTTACGTTCGCTATATTTTTGATATCTCAACATGAAAACCAGTATTCACTATCGTATTTATTCGAGCATCTCTTTCATCCTCAAGAACTCGAGAAGGTGCAGCGGTCGAAAGGTGTTTGAGTTTACAATTATAACGCTAATGAAATGATATTGAAATGAAATGCACTATCTGCAATCTGGTTTCGAGTGATCTCTACGTTCGTACGCATATCATTACTATTAGTCCTCAGCTGTCGTTATCACTTTTTGAAAACCACAAAATATGTTACCGTCCCACCCCCATATCATGTCCCAAAATCAGTTCCTGACGACTGCTGCGAAGCGCACTATATATTTCGTGAAATTTGTGTTTCAGCGCCCCTTATCTGCTCTTATCAGTCGTTATCACTTTGTAGCCAAATCCTGTTCCCGCCCCACCCCCTATACCATGTCCCAAAATCAACTCCTGACGACTGCTGCGAAGCGCATTACATATTTCGTGAAATTTGTGTTTCAGCGCCTCTTATCTGCTCTTATCAGTCGTTATCACTTTGTAACCCCCACCAAATATGTTACCGCCCACCCACTATATCATATCAAAAAATCAGCTCCTAACGACTGCTACGACGCGTGCTATGAATTTCGTGACACACGACACACACACACGGTACAGACAGACATTAGCGATTTATATATAGTAGAATACACTGATCGCAGGAGCTATTACAAGAGGAGAGACCAAAAAGTTGCAGAACGGTATGTTACCGATTCTGATGCTTTTCATAAGTATTTGGAAGTAATTATATGACTCATTTGTACCTTGCAAGCTATTATCCCGTTCTACGCTCTGCTATAACTTCTGTCCAGATTCGTCAATATTAGTCCTGCGGTCTTGAAAGAAACTGAGCTTACTTGAATTGATAGCAAAGTATTTTGGTGCCGAAGATTATGACAAAATGTGCAAATCATAGCCATACAAGTTTGAGGATGCCATCATGTGTCGGGAGTAGTGCTTAATTCATCGATATCATACAAGTTTAATCCTTTTTCAGCCCTGATATCAAATTATGTAAAATTATTCTTCGTAATGCAGACAATCGAACTGATGGTGCAAATGTCGGTGGCAGGCCAAATATGGTCAATACTTTCGTAGCTGTGTTCCGGATCTTAACTCGGCGCATATCCACATAATTCAACATAGACTGGTGCGAAAGAGGCGCTGCAATGGTATCACTTAGCTATCAAATTGCATCGTAATGCTTGGAACAAGTGCAAGGTGCGGTGAAAGATTTCAAATATAACATTTTTCTATTGAATACATCTTATTCTATCAGATCCGTAAAATTGAAATAGTTTCCGCAGCACATTAGACTAATAAGTCAGATGCTGAATGGGCGCCGGATAAAACTATCCACCTGCTGGGTGTTGAGCCCCACAACCCTCAGGGACCTGTTACATATTCTTATGCAAAATCAGGGCCAATCCAGTTTTTGGTGTAAAGTTTTCAGAAAGCTTTATTACATATTTGGCTATGTTTTCCGATTTTCTGTTTGATTTAGTTAATTTTAATACATTTGCGTGAATTCGTCAATATATCCGTGACTGGCCTTCTGTGGGAAGCTGCTTGTGTGGGTTAGATTTGTATACATTCTGCACAGGCCAGGGATATAGGGTTTCTAATTTCCAGATTCTGACAAACACACGAAACTCTCGAAAATCAGTCGCTGGTTTGGGGGATTTGTCTCAGTCGTTCGTGTATAGCCATAACACGGATCCAGGATATCAATAATCGTTGATCAACGAAAAGAAATTTGAGCGGCTACAATGTAAGTACGAGACAGACAAATCATTTTAATAGCTTAGCTTACTTTTGAAAAGTAACATAAGTTTACTTCAACTTGAGGTATTGAAATTCCCGCTGTTATTAGTCCGATACCTTTCTAACAGGAAAATTTCTTAAACATATCCAGAACAAAAGTATGAGTGAAAGATACGGAGCTGGATTACCTGTACTGTACAACACCTTTTTAGATAATATGAGTGATTAGATTGAATAACGTAGGAAATAATGAAGGTGATGTGATGCCGAATGAATTCACACGCTGTCTGTGACAGTGGTCCACCAGTGGCTCCTGAATGTTTAAACGCTTTTCCGGAACGGTTCACTTCATTCATCGGAATCATAATCAGCGGACATAAAACGCGAGTCGTTATCCTGGCGACACATGGAAGGCAAAAATGGTGACAGAAGAGCCACATTTCAGTTCGCCAGTGAAAAAAGATTTTTGCATTTAAGTTGGAGCATCCAGATTTAGCTTCAATGCGAAGGCAACAAGTACCATATCACGTAGGAACATGAAGTAGAACCCTCACTAGTTTTTTTTTTGAAATCCGTAGAAACAAAATTTTTTTCTGTCTTTTCATCCTTCATAGCCTCTCGGCGCACTTGACTCAGTTGAAGACCATTCCACGGCCAGTGTCATGCGATGCCCTATGAAGAATGGCTGCACTTTGGGAAGCCCAGAAAGCAATGGACCTAAAGAAAAATGAGGCCGTTATTAAGAATTCACGAGATCAGGCCATGGCGCAGTATGTCGTGAATAGGAAAAAGTGCGATGTTTGGTAAAACAGGCCCTGTATCAGCGGGGGATTACGCTGTGAGAATCGGTCGCGGTCCGTCGTGTCTAAATCACTTGTAACTCTCTGCGGACTCTATAAATATCAACTACGTGCGAAACTGATCGTGGCTTCAGCCGAAAAACATCATATCTCCGGATATCCTTTTCCAAACCTTCAATTAAAACCGCATCTCACTATTTAAACACGTTACGACATCGCCGTTTTCTGCTTTGAAGCGCATGGACGAAGCGTTTGTTGCGATCAAACGCCCGCATACAAATTTCATGGATTTATAGCTGTAATTACGCATAATTAATGGATGAAAAGTGTTTCATACGTTAATCTGCTAACACCAGGTTTACATGTAAGAAGTTATGACTGGGGGAAATGACGTTTTAAGGCATAGAAAAGGGGAATTTTACTACATTTCCTTTACTGGCTTACAAATGATTTGGACGATGTTTCATAAAAACTTATCTTACCCGTACGAACTTGATAATAACATTTGTATTCATTTTAGCACAATGTGAAGATCTGAAAAGAATGCGAGGGATGGAATGAACTGACATATCATTAATGCTGATAATTCTGATGTCTGAAAAAGATTGAAATTATCAATGTGAAAATGTGTTTAGGTATGCTAAATGTATTAGACTATAAAGAGTTAAAACTTAGAATAACGCACAAAGCGCAAGAACAAGGATAACTTGGTGCACGCGTTACCGTACAATGTCACAGGTTGCTCAAAGTGGGAAGTTAACCGCGTCACGGACTGTCGTCAATCTTATTAGATGTTGTGATACAGCATAAACGAAATTCTAGACTACTTCATATAATTTCGTATTTTCCTTACTTTTTCTGTTGCTTGGCTTGTAGTTCTGAAAAAGCGAAATTTCAACGGATTATGACCAAGGTGGATTTTGAATTTGAGTTCAATTATTTGGAGGACAATTTTTATATTCAGCAAAGGATGCAACACGGGCACGTTCCACCGGATAAGGCAAAGAGTTTGATGAGCGGTTACATGGATAGTCTCATTGCTGAGCAGAAGAAAATATTCGGAATTCTCGCCAATCAGAGAGTCTCTGTAAGTTTGAGCACCTAATAATTTATAGCTTTATATTTCTTTTAGGATACAAAGCTTTTCAATTTATTTGTTTTAAAACACCATTTTTCACAGCACAAGCAACTTTTCGTTGATGTGAGGAATCTGCTTACTGATGCCCATCGAACCATCGCAGTAGACCGTCTGATGAAACCGGATTCATGCGTTTTCTGGAGGGAATACACTAGGTAAACAGTTTAAGAGTTGGATTTTACATGCCAGTTTATTTTTATACG